TGTTCCTGTGTCAGGCCACCGCAAGCTGACACAGCTTGGGACAATGCAACATGGAGTATTTGAAGTAGAAAAGCCACAAGAAAAGAAATAGAATCACAAGCTCTCTTTCCTCTTAAATACACCAGATGAGGAAATGAAAATAGCACCTCCCGGTAGATTTGTGTTCCGAATCATAAACCAGAACTGTCTGGTTTTTTGGCATCCCAGCTTAACAAGAGATTTCTGTTTGCTTTGTAAAAAACTGAGATCACCATGCATACAGAAGTACAAAGAATAACTGATTTTTAGACTTTGCATAAAACTGTATGATTTTGCTGGTTTGCCCTGTACATTTTGGGCCAATATTCAACTGTGTGCATAAATTCATCTTTAAGCATTCATTCTAGGTGCCTAAATTCTTGGAAGTCAAATGCAGGTTGGTGGGAGGGGGTAGAAGGGAAAGACTATGTATGAAGTTGGAAGTGAAGAAAGTTTTAGGGAACTATTTAATTAACATTTTTTTTTTAAGTGAAAGAGGAGTTGGCTTTAAGTAGCGTCCTAGAATATTTCTCAACCTTTAGCCCTTTCTACCCCTGCTCCCCTCCTTTTAAATTTCTCCTGCAGAAGAAAAGTGAACTAGTGTGAATCCACACTCCAGTTATCTACATGTACGTTTTCCCTTGAAAGTTCCTACCCATGTACTCATGCAGTTTGACTTGGCCTGCTTCCTCATAATACCATAAAAACCAGTAAAGTGAAGATTATAAAGGTCCTCCTCCAAGAGACTCCCGTAGCAGTCTTCAGAGAAACTCCAACATTCATTCTTACATTCTTGTCAAGCATGGCTTACCTCTTATATTAATAGAGGTTATGTTTGCTTTATTGAACTCAACATCAAGGACACACATGCACGTGCACACACGATTTTATAAGCATTCTCCTTAAAACTTTCTAATCCTCAAGTAAGGGCTTCCAACACTACAGTTGTTGTGTAGATGACCACATTTGTATTAATAAAGTCCCTCTAAGCATGTATACCCCCTTTATGCAGATGAACGTAGATTTTTAAAAGGTACCTCGTAGCAGTAGTCAGGAGCATAACCGACCATCACTGTGTCCTGGGCTTCTCTGCTTTCCCTGCTGCTGGAGTACTTGCAGACAAGGTGCCTCACTATTTCTATTCCAGTGCCTTTCCTAGTGCCTGCAGCTTATGCCCTCACTGTTGTACTACTGCCATTAGAACTATACTAATAAAGAAAAAGGGAAATAAGCTACTGAAGGCATAAGGCACCTTTATGTCAGTATGTCAGGGCATGCATTCACCTGGAGGGTGGGAAGCCCTTTCAGTAGCTTAGGTCAGAGAAAGAGTGGGAGTCACATTCCTAACCCAAATAGTTAAACTAGTAAAAAGTATGTAAAGCTAACAGAGAGCTACTAATAATGTGGGTTTTATGAATGATGAGAATATTTGATGTGGAGGTTTGAGGTCCCATATGCAATTTTGAAAAATATGGAGACCATTTTGAAACCTTTGACTCCCAGCTCCCCCTTTCTGTAGAACTGCAAGGAGGCTGGCAGGAGTGCAAAGAAGGTTATTAAAAGTCTAACCATTTTTTTTTTTTTGGGGGGGGGGGGGGGTCTCGAATCAAGAAAGAAAGCCTGTTTACCCCTGGAAGAAACTTTCTGTTCAGAAAGCATTAACCATGTCTATTCAAAGAGAGCAGTGTGTGGTATCTAAAACAGTTTTTTTTTTTTAATAAGAACACAAGGATAGGTTTACGTACATTAAGGGGAAAGTATTTGCAGGCCATCTCTTCAGATAAACATTCCAAAAATTTTGCTTCTCTTGGGGTTCATACAGACATTTGGGGAGGTCACAAACTGACATAGAGCAGATTTAGGTTAGGCATTAGGAAGAACTTCTTCACAGTAAGGATTGCCAGAATCTGGAGTGGGCTTCCAGGGGAGGCGGTGCTCTCCCCCACCCTGGGGGTCTTCAAGAGGAGACTGGACAAGCACCTAGCTGGGGTCATTTGACCCCAGTGCTCTTTCCTGCCCATGCCAGGGGGTCAGACTCGATAAGCTACTGAGGTCCCTTCTGACCCTAACATCTATGAAGTTATGAGGTTAGGGAGAGGTTAGATTGCATTAAAAATGTCCACCTGATCTAACTTTGTTCATCTAGGCATGGACCCTGTACTTAGGTTAATCTAAGTGCAAACCGTACAGACGTTCAGGAAGGTTAGATCAGTTTAAAAATGGCCTACCTGATCTAAGTTAATTATACCTTGGAGGTAGTCTAGCTTAGATTGGTTTTACCCAATCCAAACTAACTGAACTTCTGTACAGTTCCCAGTGCAGCCCAGGGGTGGGAAAGCCCAGTTGCTTGCCCAACCTCCAGGGCTGTACTTTTCCTACCCCCACCCCAGTACTGGGCTATTTTTAGCCCCAGGGCCCATTTATCTCCACCTGCTCCCCTCAGCCCACCAAACCCCTGTTTTCACAAGTTGCTCCCAATTCTGGTTTTACTCCCAGCGCTGGCGAAACTGCAGCTGGAGTACTGGTGTCTAGTTCTGGGCGCCGCACTTCACCAAGGACGTGGAAAAACTTGAGAGTCCAGAGAAGAGCCACCTGTATGATCAGGGACTTGCAAGGCAGACCATGCAAGGAGAGGCTGAAGGACTTGGGCCTCTTTAGCTTAAAAACGAACAGGCTAAGAGGGGACTTGGTAGCATCTTACCACAACATCAGGGGAATACATCAAGAGCTTGGTGAACAACTGCTGACCAGAGCACCCTTGGGTAAAACTAGGAGTAATGGCCACAAACCCCTGGAAGACCACTTCAGGCTCAACTCTAGGAAAAACTTCACAGTCAGGGTGTCCAGACTGTGGAATAAGCTCCCTCCAGAGGTGGTGCAATCACCTACCCTGGAATCTTGAAGAGGAGACTGGACAGTCCCCTTACTGGGGCCACCTGACCCCAGGTGTCTTTCCTGCCTAGTGCAGGGGCGCTGGACCCGCTGATCTTGCGAGGTCCTTTCCATCTCCTAACAATCTGTGAATCTATGAATTTACTGGCATTTGCCAGTAACAGAAGTCAAAGTAGTGAATCAGGGTAGGGGGAGGGATTGATTTGTTGTGGGA